TCAGCAAGTTTTCGTACGTTAAGGAAGGTGGCACTGCAACTGGAAAGCGAATAGCTGGACTCACATTTCAGAGGTCAATCTTCTTTTGGATGCGGGGATGGCATTGATGAAGTCCGCAGATTGTAGTTATGCCCGGCAGGCCTTCGTCATTGTAAGGAGGATTTCAGCGTTGGGCTCCCGGCGAACGCGTTCATAGGGAGTTCCGGTGCCGGGGTATACTATAGAGGGACGTGGTTTCGTAATTTGGCATACTTTCCTTTGAGGACTAATGTAGTGGTGCTGTCGTGTAGTGCCTTACGTCTCGACATCCACAACTGAGGGACGCGTGTTGGCTGTCCGGCAAACTTCCCCCCTAGTTGTGGTGCACTGTTGATGATGGTGAGAGGGCGCTTTTGGCTCGCGGGAGTCACAGTTTCGCTGGTCGTCGGGAACTCGTCTTTATGTTGGTGGGTGGGGGGCTCATGGAGTATGTTGATATGCAGAGTTTTTGTCATGGGCTCCTGGAATCTGTTAATATGCAGAGTTCTTGTCTTGGGTGTCTTGTTGTGATGAACGGATATTGCTGGAAGCTACTGGTTTAGTCGACCACCCCGTGGTAGCTTCGAGTTCTCCGCGACCGAATGTCGACGGGGCGCGGAGTAGTTCAAGGCCTAAACTTCTTCAAAAGGTCTTTTCCCCCCACACCAAACCGCCAGAGCCTGGAGGCGCAGTCTGGTCGGGAACAATGCTTCAGTGACAGGAAGGATACACAGGCCGCAGACATCCTAAAGGTGAAAAGGAGAAAAGGGAGAGAGATAGGGTGGGAAAAGGGAAGTCCACCCTATATTCTCCCTTTTTCCTTTTTTTCTTTTTTCTTTCTTCTTTTTTTCTTTTTCTTCTTTATTTCTTTTTTCTATTTTTTTCTCTTTCTCCCCCTGTGATTTAAGATTATATGAAGTGAGCACCAACAAACTGTACCATCACTTCTGATGAAGGCCAGACTCTAGGCTGAAACGTCGAAATAAACCACGTTGTGACCGCTCACGGAGGATGTATTGTATACGTATATATATATATATATATATATATATATATATATATATATATATATATATATATATATATATATATATATATATATATATTGTTCGCAAACCCTGACGAAGACCTCCACTGGTCGAAACCATTGGTAATAAAATTAAGACAAGCGCTAAGTTGTGTTTTTTCTCTACCCAAGTACATTTGGCCCATTGGAATACTTCTTCAGTGTATATGTATATATATATATATGATTCAAAAAAGAAATTCTGTGGGTCCAGTGCAAATATAATTAAGAATAAAAGGAGCACACTTACGAAAATTTGATAATTGTTTACTCTACGTTTCGGCCGTGGCACGGCCTTCGGTTAATTCTGACGAAGGCCGTGCCACGGCCGAAACCTACAGCAAACAATTATCAAATTTTCGTAAGTGTGCTCCTTTATTCCTAATTATATATATATATGCCACTATAATAAATGGGAGACATGGCCCAGCTCACATGCCATGTTACGCCATGTTTATTCCAATTCTGACTGCTTCCACCTCAGCTTCTACCAACCATCGCTACCTCCTTACGTTAAAAGATTTCCCCTCCCTATGAAAGAATGCGCACGTTACATATTACCATACACGATCAACAAGCAATCTTTTAATACAAAAATGTCCGAATAGGCTGTAGTTCCACATCACATTGATGTTCCGTAAGATTGCACATACTTCATAGGAGAGGGCGGCAATCCGGGATTATCAAGTACTGCTCTGGTGGGCGAGGTTGGCTGTTACGCTCTGGACAACATAAGCATGATTTGAGTGTGGAAACAGATGGAAACACAGCCGGAATTCTTGCGAGGAATGAACGAGGTTGGAATGCCTTGAAGGATTGGAACGCTGAGGTCGGAAGGCCTAAAAGATTGTACTCTGGGTAAGTCACACTCTGGGTGGTCCGTCACTGTATGGTCCACGTCTTCGTGGTATATAGCAGCGAGCTCTGAATGCAACTTCGAATACTTGGTGGAAGTTGGCCTGCAGGTTTCACCTGCGAAGTCAGCTGTCATCGCGTATCATCCAAGGCAACGCGCTCGTCGAAGTTTTACCAGGCTTTACCTCGAAGACACACCGATACAGTGGGTACACCAACATCGCTACCTGGATGTAATCATCGATGATCGCCTTTCTTGGCGCCTGCTGTTAAAACTGTGTGGCGAAAAGCGCTGTCCCTGTTCAAGTGTGTAGCCGCCTTGACTGCTAGGGGTGAGGGCATTGATCATAAGACGGCTCTACAGTTTCACCAATCAACTGTACTCTCTTGCGTGATGTATGCTTTGACAGTATTTATTTATTTATTCAGTTACCCCCAAGGCCCGATGGCATTACAGAGGGGAGTGGGTACATACATACATGTACAGCATACAAAGCAAAATACAACAGAAAAATTGCAATCATTGCTTGCTACAGGGTTGAACTGAGGCTACGTACAAATAAAATTTTAAATAAAGCGGCATCTTTTATACCAACAATATCGCAAGGAAGATGATTCCAACATACAGATGTTTTTGGCACAAATGAATCATGAAAACACTTGGTGTGCGCTAAAGGAAGTCCTACTTTATGGCGATGATCAATGCGAGTGGAAACGTAAGTTGGTTGGGCCAATAATCTGCTTCTGAGTAACGGATTGGTGAAGTAAATTTATTGAAGTATTGAACGTGCCGCCTGCTTTAATGTCCCAGCTGAAACGGGATCATCGTGTTGCCGTCCGAGTACGGTTTGGCTTACCTCGTGAAGCACAATCCATCCCACTAATGACTGAAGCACACCAGTTGCCGCTAAAGCTGCAAGCTGACCAGAGAGCGCTACATCATATTGAGCGTCTGAACTAAGCCCCACATGACAAGACACTCCTTAACAGGCTGTTACAGCACCCGCTTTCTCGAAAGGGTAAAATGGTGGCTTTCTTAAATAAGATTACTGGCAAATCCGGACAAACTATTCAGCTGCCAACATCGACAGAGCACAGGCTATGTACCTTTCCTACCCATCTGTCAATTCTAGAAATACGCAAAAAGTGAAACCAACCTGTTTTGGAACTATAACAATTAGCCCATTCACACTTATTTGACAACTTTGAAGACTATGTAAAAGTATTTATGGGTGCTTCTGAACGCAGCGATGGCCTGAGCGCACCTGCAGCTTTCTTCTGCCCTTCAACCGATATCAGGTGGTTGTTTAAAATACCACATCCCTCTACGTAGGTAACAGCCGAGTTAGCAGCGATTGATGTCCCCCTTAAGTACGTACAAGGAGGGTTGTCATCTCGCCGACTCTCGTGGTGCCCTTAGCAGACTCACCAGCAAGGAGACCGACAGCCCTATTCTGAGCAGCATCATGGAATCCATTATTAATATTCTGTCACGTGGTGTATGCCTAGCTGCACAGTAGGTACCTTCGCACGTGGGTATCTCGGGCAATGAAGAAGTGGGTCTCCTCGCTTCGTCATGCAACCATGATGACTGTGACTGTCCGGGAATTCTTTGTACGATGGACAACGCTCGTCTGCTTATACGCCGACACCTCCTAAAGCAGCACCCGGACCAGCGTGTGGCAAATGAATTGTTCCCTCCCCGTGTTCGTGGCCGTGGATTGCCTCGTATTTCCCGAGCGCTGTTGTACAAACTAAGAGTGGGCTCGGTGCTGGTGCATGAACGATTACACCGTCAAGGGCGTGTGGACGGCTCGTTGTGCTGAGCTTGTGGCTCCTGCGAAATACTTGAGCATCTCGTAGTGCACTGTTCCACATTGTCTACGCAGCGGTCTTTGCTGATTAAGGAATATAAATTCCAAGGACTCAAGTGCGCGACCCTAGACGACTACCTCTTTCCAAGGTGTAGTGCTTCCCGAAGCGACCAGGCACACTGAGCTCTCCTTATATTTATACTCGAAACGGACCTGGCCACGCGTTTATAGACGCTCTTTTCTTGTTATTCTTGTTTAAATTATTTTTCTTCTGTTTTTTTATAAATTTTTATTTATTTTTTTGCTCATGCTTGTTGAAGTCTACGTCTTTCTTTTCTCACTTCATCTTCTTTCCCCCTTTTTCCCTCCAATCTTTGATTCCTTTGTTTCTTCCCTCCCTCCGAAAGAGTGAGCAGGCGTTGTGCCCTTCCAGGTGGCAGTTGCCAGCTTGCTCTTTCCCTCTTTCCTCTGTGTCCTTGTGTATCTGTGTATGCAAATCATATAAGTAGGTACTAAGTGTCAGTCACGTGTGGCACATACCCAGATACCAGTGGCAATACCCGCCCTCGGGTATGTGCCAACGTCTGGCAGAAAGAGTTTGACGACGTACGCAGCGGGACTGTGACATTATCTATGTCATGACCAGTACCTAATATTCGTGAAACATATGTAGTGCCATTATCATTATTAGCAATTCTTGACCACCACGCGGCACCTCTCACGCAGCTGATGCTGCTAGATCGAGATGCGTGAGAAAAGAACGAGCTCACGTGCCTGGCGTGTCGGACGCTGGCAGCCGCCGTGGCTTCGCACCAAGCCTGGGATAAAGGGGCAACATCAGTACGGCACCATCTCCACCTTTGACGTCGTCTCACGTCTCTCTATTCTCGCTCTCTGCACCATGTTAGTCTCTATTACTAATTTTGGCTCCCGTCACGGGTAGGGAGATGCTCGTGAGAGCATCCATACGTAAGCGGATAGACAGACAGATAAATACATAGATACGCAGATAAACAAGAAAGGTGCTTGCGGTACGCAAGGATAGGTTTCGCATTGAAAATGTGCAGATGTGATGGTCGCATATGCGATTAGTGAAATGCTCCAATAATATTTATGCTCCAGTTGCACATCAAAAGTTTTTGGTCGTTACAGTGGAATTGAGACAGAGTGGATCCAAACACGTGAAATAGCGTCGTTAAGATCGTAACCTATCCTTGCAAAATTCTATCCTACCATAGTCAATAAACAAATCATACTCACTTAGTGATGTTGCGGACGTGATATCGTTTCAGAACCACTGGTATAGTAGCGGGCACAGCAACAGAGAAAATAAGAGGATAGCCTGGATTCCTCTTAAATTCATCAGAGATATCCTGAGCAGGACGAAAGCATGGGAGACAGACCACAACAATTCAGACCACAGTAATGGTCATACTAAAGCATACAGGGCCTTTATAGGGACCCTGAAACAATTTTTGAACTAAACATAGAATGAATTCACTTAAAGTGCTCATTCCCTCCCGAATTCGACGCCGCAAAATTTTTAATATTTTGTCTTGCACGATCAGAGTTACAAAGACTTTTCGCACGTGGCGTTCACATTCCATCTTCTCCTATCCTAAAGAAAGCGCCGCAAGCTACGCAGGGAGCAATGGCAGGCACAATGAAAATACTTCACGCACGCTTCGTGACCTTGAACGCTTTTTCTTTTTTTTTAAAACTAATTCGTGGCTTTTTTATGTGTGACTGGGTGCGCACCAAGGAGCGTTAAAAAGAGTAAGCTCCCAAGCATTTCCCCGAGGGTGAACATGGTTAAGTGCGAATGCACGGGGTGATGCTGTGAGGGGGAGTAAAGTTAAAATCCGTTGGCATTCGCCAGTGAGTTAACGTAAACTCTCCCGTGTGATTACATTGCGATTCCCAGGAACCATTAGACCCTCTCGGGAAATCTTGGTGAGTTTACGCGTATATGTGAGAGTAAATCCGCACTCTAATGATGCTTATGTCCGCGGCCCGCTTCGCCCGCTTGCGCTCGGCATCACGGACTCTTCGCCACGCTGCTTGTCTTCAACCGGCGCGACATCTTCAACGGCGCGTGCAATGCTCGCATTCGATTGCGTTGTACTCGTTGGAGGTATCGCAGTCGAGGTTGATGCCTGCGATGGATCCATACCTATGACGACTTGCCGATCTCGTGTAAGTCGTGGCTGCGCGGGCGCACGCAGCCACGGAGCGGAGTGCGGAGCGCGCGCAATCACGTGGAGTGGGATGTCGCTGCGCCATTGCTACAGACGCTCCTCTCCGCTCTTCGCGCCATTGCTAGGGGAGAGTAGGAGGCGCACTGCAGACGGTGGATTCAGGGTCGCTTATAAAGTGCATTTGCACTTAATAATTGCTGGAGTGGAAGCTCCCGCAACGATTTGCACGCAGAAGGGAAGCCACTGCCAAGATGTTGGGCACATGTTTTTTTTTCTGATATTGCCGACTAAGAAATAAAGTGGCTTTAATATGTCAGTGTGAATTCCACGTTTGTTCTATATTAAAAGACAGTTGTTCCCGACAAAATAACACACAGAAGCGAGTATGGGTGACTGAATTTCCCAAGAACATTGCCTCCAATGAGAGGCTCACTAAGGGAAACTAGTAACACGAAGACGAAATTGGAACACTACGTCACCCGAAAAAAATTTCCACATTTCAGTCATTGGGAGTGTGAGGGAAATGCTCTGTAATTAAAACACAGAAGCTTTTTGATGACGAAAACTACCCTGTGTACAGGCTCTTGATGTACTGGAGCAGTACACTAAAAGGAACTTTCACAGCAAATCCATACATTGAAACATGAGAAGAAATACCGCTTAAGTTTTACTGAGCTGCCAGTGACTTAAAACGAATAGTGGAATCAATGGGTTCATGCAGTCTGAAAGATGTTTCATCACAAGAAATAAGCGAAATTGTGACAAGTAGCAGACTGAGCAAAGAGGAAGAAAAAGCATCCTGTCCGGAAAAATGGAAACAATGGTGTTCCAATCGCGTACCTAACCAGGTGCGCGAGTTTGACTGGTTGAGCAGATGGAGGGCATTGTCTACGCGTTACCGGTCAGCACATTGGGGAGTCGTTCCAAATGACCGCTGTCCAAACTGCGGCAAACGAGAGACGGCCCACCATGCTCTGTTTTACTGCTCGGTGGCGAAAGGGTTCTGGCACATGGTACAACGCCTCTTGGGCTCTCGCACAGTGCCCATGCGAGCAGAACGTGAGCTGTTTGCAAGACTGGTCTTTACAGCGACCTTGTACGTACTGTGGCGGCGACGCTGTTTAGTGGTAGCACGGCACAAGCCTCTTAAAGGCGCCTACAGCGCACTCTAGAAAATACGGCTCATTGTTTGTAATTACCTCGATCAGTAGCTAGAAACGAACGGCGAAGAGGCTTTCTTTTGACGATGCCATACACGTTTCTTCAGAGCAAAGGAGGGACATCTGAACTTTCCAGTTGTTCCGTACTAGTCATGCGCCCACTCTAGCACGAATGCATATGTGGTATTCTGTGAAATGTGAATAATTTGATTCACTTTAGTTTTCCTTTGACTTTATACCTTTGACTTTGGTAAAGTCCTTTGACTTGGTAAATGAGAAATTTTCTCATTTACTGTATGAATTAATCAATTATTCTATTTGTTCACTCACACGGCTCTTGAAGTAATTCAGTAAGGAGGACAAGTGCACAACAACAACAATAAAAATAGAGAAAAAATGTAAAAAAATAGTGAAGTTCTGTTAGTAGAAATTATGTATCAAGTTGTCTACAGCTCCGATATAATAGTCGCACAATGCGTCTGTCAAAAAGCCTCACTACAAACTTGGACAACTATTCTTCAATGAAGTATGTCATGCCGGAGCTTCATTAGCCCTCTTCGTGTTCCGCGTGGAAATAAACTCAGCAACATTCTGGCTCTTTTTTCACCTTCACTGAGTGACGTGAGTAGCAATAACACATCATTTCAGAAATAGGCTTTTGTAATGGACTTCACTTGAAAACAAACAGTTTCTAGGTCATTGGCTTGTATATGTATACTTTAGAAGCAGCTGCGAGAATTTTAAACAGTGTCAATTGAAACTCAGATTCCTTCAAATGAGCTATTTATTTATTCATGTGTTTGTGTGTCTTTCTATCACCAGTCATTGCACCGTCATTTAATTGTCTGGAGAGCTTCAACATTTTTGTCTCATCGGTAGAGGTGTGCTACGCTTTTCATTGACCCTGAATTATCAGTGAAACTGTGGTAGGGATCAGAAGCAATGTTAAAATTTTTGAAAAATCTTTTGTTTCCGAGATAACTTTATACGCCTGTTAAGTACGTGAAAAAAAGCAGTAAAGAGGTATCAGAACGAGGTTCTTGAGCCCGGCTACCCAGAGCATCCGCACCAGTTTGGGGCCTTGTGTAGTCTCAATACGAAACCACCCTCAAATGTTTTTGTTCGGTAATGCAGTTAGAGCTACTCCGACCAAAGGCATCGCATCTACACTCAAGGAGCTTATAACGAGGGCCTAACCTTTGGATGTAAAATGCCTATTGCCATCTAGTTTATTCGAACAAACTAATTCGAAAACCACACTAGGATCGGGAAGCGTTGTGCATATGGCACACATAAATTCACGTTAAATCAGGAAGCTAGAAGCAGACTATCGTTACAGTGCCTTGCCACGTGGTAAGTAAATATGTTTCAACGTAAGCCCCGTGAAATAACTTATTGCTGGGGGCATTGGTGAATACTTGAAATCTTGATGTTAGCGGCACTGACAGCTTCTTTGTTTGGTTTGGCTGCAGGGACACAGATAACATTTAATGCGCCTAGGAACCAAGTAAAATTATACATTACACATGTCAGGCTATGGTCACGTCGTAGAAATATTATTAACCAAGAACACTTATCCAGGTCATATTACCAAAGATCGACGTACACTTAGGCAAAGTAACTTTTAACTGCGAAAGCTGTAAAGGCTAGAAAACGAAAAAGCACCCGGCATATGCGTCACGACCAATTTTCATTAGTTACATTGTTATCAGTTACAAGTTATCAGTTACATCGTTCGTAGCACCGTACCCAAGCACGTGATCTATCGGCTACATTATGAGTGACGTCATTCATTCTGTTGTAATTGTGGTGCCGAGCAAGCGCGCGGCAGTTTCTCCCGGAACCTCTCACATGGATATGCCACGGAAAACTTTGGAAGAGGACCTATACAGTGGAAACGTGAAAGAGCGCGCATTCGCCAAGCCGAAGGTGCGGTAGGGTACAAAAACAGGCCTGAGAGGCCAAGTGCAAGCAGCAAATGCATACCGTTGATTCGGCAGCCTTCCCAGTTGAGCTTAATCGCGAACATAAGTGCAGGCGCCAGTGACGGGCGGATCCTGCAAACCACACCGCCTTGTTAGCTCGCGATGTCAAACGCTTTCCGGCGCAAACAGCGTCAACGTGATGATTGCGGGAATGCGTTCACCGGTGCGAACGCCCGCTTTCGGCACGTGTTTTCATAGCGACACTTTGGCTTCGGCTGCGACGTTTGTGACTGCCTGTGATTCGACATTAAACACTGTGATTAACGCATTGCAAAACGTACTTAACCCAATTACACCCTTCATGATCATGATCAGCAGAGGCACAAAGTGCGCCATGTGAAATGAACAATGTAGAAAACCCAATCCCAACGTGTGTCTAAGCTCGTTAGAAAGCACAAGCATGTAACCAAGAACTCTTCAAATCTTCAGCGAAGTGTCCGGTTGAACTCACTGCCTAACACCTGGGCCACATGTTTCAGCATTCTCTGGTTAACAATTTGAACAAAGAGCTTGGGCGTTGACTTTTTTACAAATTTTGCTACGTACAAAAACTCGACATGTAGAAAAAAAGGCCGCCGCTTTATACCCGTTTTAATAGAATGTGCAAAAATTGAATGCAGTTGACGGTGTCCATGTTCCTCCGCACCGTGAAAAATGCACATCACAGCCAACAATTCACGATGCCGAAATTCTAATGAGAGACCCATCCGTTAGCACAGGTATTAATCAATGAAAAATGCACGTCGATTGATTAGTAAAATATGTGTTTTATCAACACAACAATTCCATATTCTGATAACTGATCTTATCTTGATGTGGTCGGTACGTTTGCGCATGGCTATGCTTGGCTATGCTACCTTGATGCATCCAAGCAGAATCAATCGAATTTTATTGGTTCTCTATTGCCGCCTCCCAACAATTCGTCTTTTTTATCGCTTAGTTATCGATCCAGCCATATTCCTGTACAGATACCGACGAACTTAATTTATCTGAGCTGTTTACTCCAAGTACAAATAAACTTCAATGTACTTCGCCTTAACTATCACTGTAAAATTTCACTGGCAGAACACTTCGATGAAATAATCAAATTACGTTACTAATTATGCAATATATGTATTGCTACCGCCTCATACGCTGCGGTTTTCACAGAAATCTTTAGGCACCACCACATTTTTTATGCTGAATAAAAAACGGCATTTTAGGTTGTTTGATTTATTAGTGGCGTACGCAAAAATGCACCTCATATATAGATTGGCTCATGCATGTACGTGGAATCACTGGGGTGCGTTATACGAGTGTGCAGAATACGGCTCTTGCTAAGCCACGTAACGAGGGTCTGGTACTTCATTATAGTGTAGCTGGCATGCATGTCTAAGAATGAAGAAAGTATTGAGTGAACCTTCCTCATACCTCGATAAGAGTGAGAAGCTTTTCAGTATCGAACACTTCTGGCACCTCCCAATCGAAGTCCATCCCATGAAATTGATATCTGTTCAGTTCCCACTGTATTGATTCAATGAACCTGTATAGAGAAGCGAAGAACAAATACGCATGAGTCGTCATGACAACCATATGATGTGAAAGTACACTGCCAATGCCATCTGGAAAAATAACATCAGGCCTGCTCACTGCCGCCGTGACTTCACTCGTTTTGCCTGAGCAAGCGCACGTACGGCAGTGAATCCAATTCCATCATTGTCTCCCGTTAAAAGACGGTGTTCGCGGTGAGTTTTACTTGCTTAACAACTTTGCTTTTTGAGTTTTACTTGCTTAACAACAAAGAATGTGCTGGTTTGCGCTTTTTTGCACTTAAAAGCGTTTGGAGATTCACTTCTGAGTCCTTTCTTTCACGAAAAGCTCGAACATTATACGCTATTAAACGTGTGATCCGTCTATACGAGCTAAATTTATTGAACCAAAAAAAGTGACGTAATAAATAAGGTATATTGTATATGATTTTTATAAAGTTTCTGCCGTTCTCTTTATACTCATTCGAACATCTGTCTTTATAGACGCCTACATATTGAGGAGAGTGTGTGCTGCTGCCACATGTATGTTATTTGGCAAAATATATTGGTGATGACTACTACAAAAGAAAACAAGAACTGTCATTTCACAAACACTTCTTGTGACCAACCCAAGGAACTGCGTATATCTTTAGCCCTGGCCCTTTTCGCAGTTGTGCGTAGTCGTTTCGATAACTTAGGGCCTGGGAAAAATGTTAGTACTGAGTATAGATTTATGATTGATAGATATGTGGCGTTTAACGTCCCAAAACCACCATATGATTATGAGACCCGCCGTAGGGGAGGGATCCGGAAATTTCGGCCTCCTAGGGTTTTTTACCGTGCACCCAAAATATGAGCACACTGGCCTGCAATACTGGGTGTAGATTATACGGTGGGCGCTTCTACTGCACTGCCGGTCTTTATGTCGCTATAATATGTAGTGGGTCATGGATGTTGTAACTCAAAGTAGAGCACACACACCTGAAAATTATATAAGAAATCGCTTTGCCGTAAGTGTCTACACGCATGTTTATTTTAATAATTAAAATTTTTATTTTGCGGGTCACTGTCCCGAAATCACTATAATATTATTAGAGACGCCGTAGTAGAGGGCTGCGGAAATTTCGACCAGCTGGGTTTCCTTAACGTGCGTCCAAGTCTAAGCACACAGGCCTACAGCAATTTCTCCTCCACCGAAAATGCAGCCGCTGCAGCCGGGATTTGATCACGCGACAGGCGGGTCAGCAGGCGAGTACCTTAGCCACTAGACTACTGCGGCGGGACTCGGCTGTTTTAGAAGAAGAGAACAGTAGCAACTTTGGTTCTTTTGCACCGACAATTCGTCACGCAGCATCGCCCAACCGTTCCGATTTGCAGCCGTACAAATTGCGAATATCCAGTTCACAAAGCGCGTCACATAGTCACGCTGCAGCTAAAGTACACAGAAAAACACGGTCCTGTCGAGTCGCCAATAAGCACACCAGCACGCCACGAGAACCTTCGTCAGGTTTGGCAGTCCATGTCTGTCGAGCGAAGAGAGCAAGCGCATACGCACGTCTGTGCAGCAAAGCACGTCGGTGTATTTGGAGTGACGCCAGAGCCTACTGCATAAGCAGTGAGCAGGCCTGAAATGATCTAGGTGGCACCGACACTTGTCTTGTCGTCTCAACACATACGTTCCTAATCACATACAGTCACCTAATCGAGTGCTCTTGCATGACAATGCTTCTGTTCAGAATGGACTGTTCCCAATGATTTACCATGTTCTGTACACCAGCATAACCCACCGATAACTTTGTGCCAGCAATGTACCAGGCAGTATATCAAGCAATAGGTGTGGGATTCTTGGTCTCTTTGAGTTTGATTTTGAGTTTGAGTTTATCACTCGCTTGCATACTGAAGCAAACGGTCTGATACATCAAGTTCAGAATAACGGCTGCAAACCGTTTGCCACTGAATGTAAGAAGAATCACAACTCTTATCATTTACTGTTAGAGTACTAACAACCATCATCTAACGTTGAAACTGACCAGTTGGTGTTTTTAGCATACAAATAACTATAGCTGACTGATGAAAGTATAAATCTTTATTGTACAAATTATCCAATAAAAAGTTCTATCTTCTGTCGAGAATTATTGCAATAAGTTCTTTCGATGGTATGCACTAATAATTTTGAACTACTGAGAGAGCGCGTGACTTCGAAAGTGTCGTCTAGTATAACTGTGTGCCACGCCGCGGTGGTCTAGTGGCTAAGGTACTCGGCCGCTGGCCCTCACGTCGTGGGATCTAATCCCGGCTACGGCGGCTGCGATGGAGGCGAAAGTGCTGTAGGCCCACGTGCTCAGATATGGGTGCACGTTAAGAGCCCAGGTGGACAAAATTTCTGGAGCCCTCCACTACGGCGTCTCTCATAATCATATGGTGCTTTTAGGACGTTAACCCCTACATATCAATCAATTATTATAAGTGTCTTATGGGACGTCGTTAAAGTCGCATCCTGGTTTTAGGACATAAAATTTCAATTGTTATTATTATTAGTGTTATACAGTCAAACAAACTACCAACGAGTGATTGCAGCACGCTGGAGGGTTGTGTGTTTGGATAGGATGATACTGAGCAGGACTTTCGTGTATTTCACGGAGCTTCTCTCTCGTAATATTTTTTACTGGGCAAGAAGATTTCCTAATAATGTGCCCTAATATTGTGGGTATCATAAATGTTCTTTCGAACGAAAAGCTTTAGCACTAGACACGTTCCTGAATGCGTGCCCTGTTTAGTTGCCGTGTTTGTTCCCTTACACGCTATCAGACCTTCTGGAACATACATGAATCAAACCCCAAACATCAATCAATTGAACAAGGACGAACTGAAATACCGTTGTAGTTAGAAGTGTTAGTAGTGGACGTACGTTAACAGCTTAAAGGACAACATTGAACCCAAGCCACTGGGAGAAGGTAACGCGTACGCATGACGTATGCGTGACGTAACTCTTGCCCGCAAGGGAAACATAAAATATCCGAAAGGATTGCTGCTGTTTTAACCTGTTTAATGTTCAGACATTGTTTAGAACTTCAGCGTAGATCACATCAATCACCTACGAAAACCTGGCGATGTCTTTTTTTTAATTGGCGATCTCCTCGAAGATTTTGTGCCCTTCTGTCAGACCACCATGCTGTTTGGCCAACCACGTAGGATGTTTGGCCAACCACGGTCACTATACTTATTACGTGAACAATATTTCATTAAACGAAAAGGGCAGCATAAAACTTCCTCGTGCAATGTAAGCTCATATCATGCCAAAAATAACGTAATCAACTACATTGTGCTCATTTTTTGTATCTTTATTTGACTGTATTTAGAGCTAACAGTTTATATCGAACCGTATCTATGCGCAATGGTGTGCGACCACACTGTCTCATTCCTAAAGACAACATGTGAATTCCACAGATATAGAAAACTAGTTTTCTTCATGTGGAATAGTGATGTGCCATCCCCAAGACTCAACATCATCACAAGCCTGAACAACATTAAATGGGTATTTGTGTGAATTGCACGAAGTTATATATGGAATGTTAACATTAAATTGCACTAACAGGAAAACAATTCGCGCATATATGAGCATAGCATAACCAACGCGATTTGCAGTCATACCTGTCATTGAATAATTACAGCAAGTTAAAACTAAATATTCTCAGGCTATAGTGCCAATGTTTTCTGTTTTATTTACAATTTTTCGCAGCTGGTTTGTTCAAGTAAAATCAGATGACGCCATAAAAGTTATGGACTTGGAGTTTAGAGAAAGGGGGCTTGCGCTGCGCTGCTCAATATGTATTTATCTGCAGTGCGTCTCCGACCCGTCATTCTCATAGCGCGTGCGCGCAAACGAGTACACAGCAGTGCCCCCCTCCGCCAATAAAAATGAATTGCAGCATCTGTAAAAGCGAGTTCTTTCCGCCCAAAAAATCACTCGAAGTTGCCGTGCACTGTCCAAAACCAAGGAATGCATTTACTTGATATTTGCAGCCTGAACCTTCGAGAGCGATGTATTCGCCTTTACTTTGGACTACTCCCAAAAATTCCTATCAGATATTCGGGGAGAAGGTTTTGCAGGAGTGACTATTTAGACATGATCTTGAGAAAAATATGATTTATGTCAGAATGAGATGGCAGGAAGGTATACACAATTTTTCTATTTATTGATTGCTGCCTGGACAGTGGCTAAAAGCAAGCGCGAGTTCAGCCTGAATCGGATGGTCACCCCTGCACGGGTTCTGCCATGGTGATTTTCAAATACAACTACTCGTGGTTAGTGATACAAATATGTGCGTAAAATAAACACTGATTGATATGATTGATATGCGGGGTTTAACGTCTCAAAATTATGATATGATTATGAGAGCCGCCGTTGTGGAGGGCTCCGGAAATTTCCACCACTTGGGGTTCTTTAACGTGCACCGAAATCTGGACACACCGGCGTACAGGATTTCCGCCTCCATCGTAAATCCAGCCGCCGCAGCCGGGAATGGATCACGTTACCTGCGGGTCAGAAGCTGAGTACCTTAGCCACTAGACCCCCGCAGTGGAGCGTAAAATAAACATTATAACATACCGTGGTGGTGCAATACATGCTAAGGGAGAACGCATGTAAACGTTCAGGCCCGTTAATGTAAAAGAATATTGGCTGCCCAGCACGTGACGCACGTGACTTCGCAGGCCGAAGCCATTAACGATCTTCAGAACAAACGTGGCTGCTCCAATTCACCTCGTATAAAAAAACATCTAAAACTTTAAGCCGGTGAGCAACACCTTGCTTGCATAGTTTATAGCTTGTTAATTGCGCACAATGCTCATACATCTGTTCATTAGGAAACTAAAACATCCATCAAACTTTGAAGAGCTTTACCTCTTTCGGTTGGACTCAGTGGAGGCCATCATCTTGAAATTTCTGTCATCTCCTCTTCCTCCAACTGATATCATGAGTTTCAGCGATGGCTTTTGCTTGCGCAATTCAGCAAAGGAGGTATGTGCCTCGTGGCCACCGATAGGGTTGAGGTTGACTCTGTAGTCATCGCCGACGGTGGCAAAGCCCATAATAATGTGGCTACACAGACTAACATCCACCATTTCGAAAGGCAATGCACCTGGTGACTTCATCGGAGACTGCATGTAGCAAACGTGGTTGAAGGAGTCTGCGAAGAGACCAGAAGCCAATCTCTCATTCTCAGCATTCTACGAATTGGATCACGCTTCCCATGGGGTAACTAAAGCGGCATCAACATGCACTGTCTTCCTTTGCTTGAAAATAGGAATTACACCCCCTTTATCCCCAAAACATTTCGTTCTATAACAAGAACAAAAAAAAACTCACAGGGTCCCTCAGGCGCTCGCCTGAAACGACGGGAAATGTTGCTGTTTTTGTTTGTCCGTCTCTTTTTCTCCATAGATTTATAGACTATTCTCCGGTCACCTCAGATTCTGCGCTAACATATTACGGCACTGTATGAAGAAGGGGAGGTATTCTATGGTGATGAAAGTAGTAGTTGATGTTGCGTGACCGTCAATGACACCGCAGCGCACTCATATACACCTAGAACCATAGTTCACTAATGAATTCCACCGTGAAGAGCTACGTGTCATTACTGCGTTCAGCTTTCTCAGGCGATTTTTAAGCACAAGACGTGCGACTTCACCTGAGTGACAACCCCGTGAGCTCGAAGTGCTTGAATAATTCTGAACACCTTGCATAACGTCAATGCAAGACCTCATTACCATCATGAATAACAGCCTACTTCACCTCCTACAGTCGGATCGAACCTCACTAGGAAACAGCTTGCAGTTAGAAACCGTCTAGATATGCGCGGAAAACGTTTCTATGCATCCACAGAGGCAGGTGCCCTTTATGAACTTGAACACTGAACTTTATTTCGTGCACTAAATTGTTGGGAGTTCCTTAGGCGAAAAGCTGTCAAACACACTATAAAGGATTTCGGGGCACCTTGAAAGGAGCAGCGATTACATACTCACATAATAAAAAACTGATAATACCTAATAACTTAGCATAGCTTCAGTAACAAGTAGAGCAAATATAAAATTGTGGAATGCTGTACAGAACTACAGCGAGGTGCATATTACACAAGGATACAAATCGACGTAAAACGACTATATATAAGAACAAAATTGGCAGATACCACGTAAAATGGGAATAGATGATATGCGAAGCGTGAGTGAGAAATCTTGATGTGTCACTTTAAAATCAGCACAATGTTAAGAGGTGGAGGTAAATGATTCCGCGCATGAGTTCCGTGGCATTATTATTTTGTTTGAATGTGTCGTTCACCTTCGTCATCTATTAACTTCACCAGATACCAAGTTTAGTATATGTGGAGCTAGCGAAACGGCCGCGAGCACGCTATTAGCGTGGTACGTTGTCATGTTCTAACACAACATGCATCTCATGATTATCATGTTTGCATCAGTAATATATTTCGTCATCTACTGACGTCAAGTAACACTTAATTTGGTATAGGCACCCGTCATTGTAGTTTAAGAGATCTGATGGTAGCGCCAGAACACACAGCCTAGCGAGTAGGCATAGCAAAACCGAGCCTTCGAATGCGTAGCCTAGCGAGTAGACGCATCAAAACCGAACTTGCACGTGCATATCATTTTTTTAGTTGTGAGCAAGGGGGTCACGACTGATTATGAAAGCGCCCAGGAGGCGTTCTTTGAAAACGTGCCAAAAAGGACACTGACACTTCAGCGTGTCACTGTGTTCAGCAAGCGTTCCATTTTGTTTGTGTCCCTGGCGGTCGGTACCAACAATGCTGAGGCGGCCCAAAGATCTTCGTCGCGCCCTCTCGTCCACTGTCGCGTGCCTATACGTGGAGCATGCAAAACAGCCGCGAGCGCGTCATAAAGGGTCCAACATACTCCAATGTAGAGTTCACGGGCGCGCACTTTGGGTATAGCGACGCTACGGCAGCAAAACGCGAGCACTCCATACTCTGACGGCAGGCGCAACCAGCATCCGTCTGCGCGGCCCAACGGTAACCGGCGCGAAATGCGACATGCTGCGTTTCGCGCCGATGCGTTACCAAGACAACACTGCGTCTCCCTCATTTCGTGACAGAGGGACGCCGAACGCGCTGAAACGCGCATGCGACAAAGCAACGCAGCGCTGCGCGTGAGTGCGAGTATGTGGCATGACCGCCGCTTGGCGTGGCGACGCCGCCATGACGCGACGAAATGAACGCCAGTGAGCACCGCGTCACGTCAAAATGTATTGGGGCCTTGACTGTGGCATGTAGTCATGTTCTCACATGACACGCATCTCATGATTATAATGTCTGCACCAGTCACATACCTTCGTCATTCATTGGCGCCACACAATATCAAATTTGGTATACGTGAAGCTAGCAAAATGGCCGCGAGCACATCATGAGCGTGGCATGTAGTCAATTTGTTATATGACACGCATCTCATCTTTATCATGTTTGCATGAGTATCATACATACGTCATCCATTCACGTCCCGTAATACCAAACTTGGTATAAGGGACGTTAGCGAAATGGCCGCGAGCGGATCATGACCGTGGCATGTAGTCATGTTGTTACATGACAGGCATCTCATGATTGTCATGTTTGCACCAGTCATATACCTCCATCATTCATTTATGTACTGTAATACCAAATTCGGTATATGTAACGCTAGCGAAACGGCCACGAGAGCATCATGAGCGTGGCATGTAGTCAGGTTGTTAGACGAAGCGCATGTCAAGATTGTCATGTTAGGGTCCATTGTTTGTGTTTGCCATGCATTCATTCGTTAGCATACCAGTTTTGCAACATGGCATGTGAACGAAACCATCGCAAGAGCTGCAGTACCATGAAATATAAATCATGACAATCATGACAAAAATTTCATAATTGTCTTGTTATGACTAGTCAAGTATGTTCTTCATACAGTCATGTTATGCCATACCAAGTTTGGTATCCATACCTTTATCGAAACGGCCAAGAGAGCTAAAAGTCGTTGGTGGCTAGATAGATGGATAGATAGATACGCTCAAAGCCGCCAAAGTTCGCTGAGAAATGCTTCGCATTTAAAACATGACTAATCGCCACACTCAAGATGCGCTGGCGCCCGTTTCACTAGCTTCACTTATACCAATTTGGTATTACGCCTTGTTCACACTGATGCATGCGCTTTCTACGGTGACGAAAATTATTAGGCCGTCGAAACGCCGGGTCATTCGCACTGTGCCACCGTGCCCCCTGCCACCGAATATGCCATCTACCACGGGGCAAACGCGGGATGGATGCGCTGTGAACCGGTTGTTGTCACGGTTCGCAAACGCCGCTAGCTACCCGGTGGTCTTGTCTTCGATGATTATCGTATGCAGGAATTAAGAAGAGACAGTACTGCTTATTTGCTGGCAAGTGGCTGTGTTGTAATACACAAAGAGCCGAAAAAACCACCGACGCCAGCGGCATTGGTGGGTTCGTTTTGCTCTTCAAGAGCGCAACAAGCTCGGTCACGCCAACGACAAGCTCGGTCACGTCTTCCACGAAATAAGGACGCGAAGTAGGCACAGAGTAGGTTACAAACTCCCGTTCGTTACAACATTCGGTTTCGTGCACTGCGACATAACAAGTAAGGCCTTGGCCGCAGTTTTAATATTCCTTGAGTAGCGCTTCTATTCGTCAGCGGCGACCGATTCGGTGGCGGACACCGCGAGAATCTGTCCGAGAGGGATCGGCGTGAAGAGGGCCCTTTCGGCGGATCTCGCCGCCGCCGAACCGGATTCGGAGCACTTTCGGTGGCCGGAATGCTCAGTGTGAACGCAGCCTTACGGGACGTGGATGGATGACAAAGGTATGTGACTGGTGCAAATATGAATGGCATGAGATGCACGCCATGTAACAATTTGACTACATGCCACACTGGGGATACGCTCGTGGCCGTTTCGCTAGCTTCACATATGCCAAATTTGGTATTGCGTGACGCCATTGAATGACGAAGGTATGTGACTAGTGCAAAAATAATAATCATCAGATGCGTGTCATGTGAGAACATGACTGCATGCCACAGTAAAGACGCCAGTATATTTCGACATGACGTGGTGCGCGTGCTCGCTGGCGTTCATTTCGTCGCGTTACGCCGGTGTTGCCACGCCAGGTGCCTGTCCTGTCATGTACTCACAGCCGTGCGTAGCGCTGCGTTGCTTTGACGCGCACGTGCGTTTCAGCGTGTCCGGTGCCCCTCCTTCACGAAACAAGGAGGCGCAGTGTTGTTTGGCTAACGTATCAACATAGAGTAATGTTTCTCTATGGCATCAGCATGAAATGCAGCATGTCACATTTCGCGCCGGTTGCCGTCGGGCAGCGCCGATGGACGCTGGTCGCGCGTGGCGTCAGAATATAGAATGGTCGCATTTGGCTTAAGTAGCGTCGCTGTGCCAGCATGCGCGCGCGTCAACGCTACATTAGAGTATATTGGGCCCTTAAAGGGCCACTCATCAGGTTTGAGAATTTTAAGTGTGAATACACTTTATAAGCGACCCCAAACCATCCACCGCCGTCGGCGGCATCCACAGTCTTCTCTCTACCTTTAAAAGAAAGAAGACTTGGCGGGCCGCAGCGCGACGCTCTACCGAATAAGCCACGGACGCGACGCTGATATTGGTGTCAGTAACGCGCCTTATACCCCCTCCCCCTTCGCTCGCTCCTCCGCTCTCCTCGCTCGCTGCAGCTGCGCGCGCACCCCTCTCTCTCGCGCGCCCGCCTTCTCTCTCAGTCTCCCGTCGAGAGCGGGTCATGAGGGGAAGTAAAGTTAAAATCCGTTGGCATTCGCCAGTGAGTTAACGTAAACTCCCCCGTGTGATCAAATTGCGATTCCCAGGAACCATTACACAATAAGGCACCATAGTGTGATTGATAAATATAATAGCGAATTAATAAATACCTCTCATAGCATCACCCCGTGTATTCGCACTTAACCATGTTCACCCTCGGGGAAACGCTTGGGAGTTTTTTGAGCTGGCAAGCACAATGCGTAGAGGTGGTGGTGGTGAAAACATTTAATAACCATTAAAAGGTTACATTGGGTTGGGGCCTTATTGGCCTCCTACCCTCACAGCACTAGGTGGAACCCCTATTCCGGGGCTCCATTGGCAAGCAACGCCACCCGC